CATTCCCAACCTCAAGTGGACACACTTCTACCTCGGTTGCCTTGAGAATAAGGAGGAGGTAGAGGGGTGCCAGGCACGGCCTGTGTTCACAGTGGTTCACCAGGTGGAACTCAACGAGACCCTCCTCAAGACCCTCTCGATCTACGGAAACCCGATGCCGGTGTCTTTTGATGACAATGATGCCTTGATCCTTCATCTCGCACCAGGCATCGTTCAACAAAAGATGCCCACCGTTGTCTTCACCGAACCGCTGGTCTTTGATGTCCGCTGTTTCTCATTTGATAAGGAGGGAAACACCAACTTCTGGCAGCCGAGGTTCCCTCAGGTGTCCAAGGTACACTTTGACCGATCCTTCATGGACACAATCTCTTTCTCTGAATTGCAGGCCGTGGCTGAAGAAGCAACCACCACTCCGGCCATGGAAGACAGTCAGGAAATGCTGGACTGGATTGCTAAACTGGAAAGAGCGGACCCTCGTGGTGTTCCCGTTGATGCTATCAGCCAGTCCACAACGGGCTCTCTCATGACGCCATCTCGCACTTCTTCCGTACGGCCTTCAACCTCGCCAGCGCCGAACTTTTCCGTAAGCCCTGCCAAGCCTCTCCAGCGGTTACCGGCATTGGTAGAAGCCCCAGAGCCAACTCTCATCACTCCTCCAACCTCATCAGCCAAGGCAGCAGAAAGGGACTTCATCGCTGAAGACAAGACTGCCAGCGAAGCAGCAAATTCGCCGAGGTCCAGCAAAAGAGGTCCAGAGAGGGAAGACGCTACTCCGCAGAAACGACCGAGGGTTTCTTCCGAATCTGGCACCGCCGGTCGAGAGCTGCCTCCGCCAACCCGTCGACCGCTCGAGGATATCAGTGCCAATCAGATGTCTCTCTCTCCTCAGGCGTTCCAAACACGGCCAGCGACAGCAAAGCACATCGTGGTGGACCAGACAGCGCCTAGTTCAGCCATTGCTGCTTTACATGAGCCGGGCAAAGCGATGGAAGGATCTGTCGCAGAAATACCTCAGCCGCGTCGTCAGAGCGCGCCAGGACCTTCGTCTACACAAGCGAAGCCCAAGTGCCAACACGCAGGCGACAATTGTCTCTTTGCAGATACGACCGTCTTACTCGCGCCCTGCATCGCCCAACAACCCTGGGTCACCGAAAATCTTCTCCCTCTTCACGGTATCCACGAATGGACCGCGGATCCGCAAGACTGGATAGCATCCTCCGTCACAACCGCATCAACATCATCAGCAGCAGCAGCATCCCTGTCATCGACACCCGCATCTACCTCGGCCACGAACCGCCCCAGAAGAAAACGACCCCGAAAAATCTGCTTCGTCGAACACAACCGCAGGGAAGCAACAAAGACCTTGTTGAAATGTCTGAACGATAATCCGGTTTACACGCCGAATGGCAGGCGCGAGTACGTTGAGGTGTACGACTGGCGCCTTTTGGAGGACGTCACGGCGTTGGAAAAGGCGCTCAAGGGGTTAAAGCCGTCCAAGGAGCAGCCGGATCCCAAGCGGAAGTGGTGGGTTGGATTGGCTTAGCAGAGTGTCCTTTTGTTGTTGTTTTTCTCCGGATGTTGACTTTGAGAATGGGGATGATTATGTCTGTACTTTGCATAGCGTGGCCAGGGATACTACACGTCACGGCGTTCATGGTCGTTCCACGAATGCATTCAACCATTGAGAATTTCGGCTTGTCCAATTGTTACAACTCATGCCTTGGTCTCCTCCTCCTTGTACAGTCCCTTATAACTCTCCCTCAGCCTCATGAACAAATGATCATCAGCAGTCATGACCTTGCGCTCCGCGTAGGGATTCGCGTTCGGCGTCCCCTCGGGCGCGACAAACTCCTTCACCCTATCGCTCGGCACGGGATCCAACGCCACGGAGCCCACGGGGTGACAGAAGAAGGCCATGGAGTACCTCGGCCCGGTGTCCGTCTCGCCCTCGGCGCCCTCCCCGCCAAACACGACGCGGTGGACGGTGCTCCGGAACAGGCCGTTGGTCCAGTAGCTGAGGAGGTCGCCGATGTTGATGAGGATGGGAGGCAAGGGGTCGGCTTCGGTGCCGGGCGGCGTGACGGGGACGGGGGCCCAGGTGTTCTCGCGGGTGAGGATCTCGAGCCCCGCCTGGCCGCGGAGGCGGAAGAGAAGGGTGACGGAGCCGTAGTCGGAGTGGGCTCCGGCGCGGACGTCGTCTGGGTTGGAGGAGGTGGCTGAGGTGGGCGGGTAGTAGAGCATGCGGAGGATTGTGCCCGAGTCGCCCTTTGAGCGGAGGTGGGCGGACGAGAAGAAGTCTGTGGGGTTGACCTGATGACAAGTTTAGTGAACTGCTCGTGGAGAGAGGGTAGCTGGAGGAAAGGGGGAGGAGAAAATACATCGAGGCCAATGCCGAGAAGCTCGAGCAGTTCCAGACAGAGGGTGTGGCACTGATCTCTGAACGAGTTCAGGAAGGGCTCATCTGATTGAATGGTGGGAGGCAGAGGTTGCTGGGCCTTGCCATCCTTGAACTCGCCAAAGTTGAAGGCCCTGAATGGTGTGTAAGTCAAAATGTAGAGATGCTCAAAGACCCTTTGACCTTACTCCTTGTAGTCGCCAACCTATGAAAAAGTCAACATCTGCATATTCCCTAGATTTGGGTAGGATCAGTCATACCTTTTGGTTCTTGGGGTCGAGAGTCTCAGAGTGCATACCAGACCAGCCGCGGTTGTTCTTCTGGATGGTGCAGGCGGCCTTCTCCTCGACCGGTGCCTTGAATAACTTTTTGGACTGTTTACCGTTGTCATTTGAATTGCTCTGGAAAGAGGTCCCATTTCAAGTTGGGCCATACCAGATCAAATGCCGAGTCTTGGTCGCCCAGCGCAATGTACCTGCCCGTATTGCGGATATAAATGAAGCCATGTTCGACGGCGGCATCAACAAGTTGGCGCGCAATGGCGGTCCTGTCGACACCCTCCGCGGCAATGTCAATAATTGGAATATTAGCCTTTGGCGCCATGGTGTATTTGTCTCCGTCTATTTGTGAATTCACGGTGCGGTAGGTCAGACAAAGTACTACGAAAGGGAGGCGACCGGAGCTGACTTATTAGAATGGAGGGTTGGAGGGGCGAGATTCAACCGAAGTCGCGCGAAGTGGGATGCGATAAGCGATAAGACTGGGATAATGGAGGGGCGGACGGGACCGCTTGGGGCCGGGGCAACGACTTGGGTAATGACTATTACGAAGCGTTTGATAGCGACTGAAGGGCGGAGAGGGCCGAGGTAGCGGGATATCCGTGGTCAGATTTGGTATCACGAGAGGTTGACGGGTCCTGAGGTGTCGTGTTGCACTCGTCGGATGTGTAACCTGTCTGCTGAGGGGGACAGTGGATGTTCGGGTATTGGAATGGAGAAGGTAATATTCAAGTAGCGAAGCTCAAACTTGACAAGAGCTTGTCAGCTAGCAAACGTTCCCCAACGCCACGGAATCCAACGGTCAGACTAGGCCGACGGAGCGAATAGCATGTAGTCCAAGCTTACAATAGATGAAGTGAACAGAGCCCGTCTACTCGGAGTGTTGATGTTGGTGTTGCTCTGCTTGAAGGAACCTCCGCATGCACCAGGGCCAGGTTGTCAATTGAGCAGGGTTCAGGCCGTATAATCGCACTTGCGCCATGGTGTGCTCTTGGTAAATTGCTAGTAGGCTTGGCCACGTGCTTTCGGATGAAGAACAGACAGACGGAGGCTGATACAAACAATTGCTATCATCTAGTCCTTGGATATTCCGTATGAATAGGTAGCCAGCTGCGGGTGTTTGAGATATGGAGACGCCATTGAACGTATATGCGGGAGGTGAATAAATACTAGTGACCAGTTGTGAAGGCTCAAACTTGGGCAACTCCATAGTCGCATGGTAGGGGCCGGGCATGCGAAGATGATGGAAGTACGCGACGGCAAATCCCATGGCAGCTGTAACCTGAAAGCTTGCTGTGCTCCCGAGAAATGTTATTTGAAGATGTTTGTCGGGGGGCAGACATGCAAGGGGCCGGCGAAGAAGAGGGATCAAGACATGGCTGCATCGCACATCCCTGACACAGAGGACAGGCGAATATAAAGAGCGGGGATCGGGGGGCAGCGGGGACGGGAACCGCTGCATGGTCGGTCAATTGATGCTGCCTGTGGCTTGAGCGATGGCTCGTGTTGGCGGGAACTTGGACCGACACCGTGCTGCTGGTAGGAGATGCTTGCTTGACATCGTACCTATCATCGTGAGGTGGTGGGCGTATTTCTCTTGAGGCTTAGGTTGTCAAATCAATCAAGAGAACTTTTGTCTATGTATAGTGTAATTGATGATTCTTGTTGCACTACCATATCTTATGTAACCCTAAGGTAGATAGGTAAGATGCAAAATGGACACAGGCGTCTAAATGTGCAACCGGAAGGAAAGGCAATGCGTTGTAGGCGTAGACTGAAGGGAAACTAGCACCTTCAAAGTGGAAACATCGTGGGAGGAAATCACCTCAGGGAGACAGAACAGTCGTGGAATCAGCAAGCCACATGCACCGCCACAAACAGCACCCACATCTTTTTCCCTTCCATAGGTTCCTTCCACCTCTCACACACGCTAACCCTACAACTTCCCTAGCGCCTCGAAACCCAAGGGTTGCCAACTTGCTCCCCCTGTACAGCGGTGCGGTACCTCGCACCTTCGTTCCTGAACCCCCAAACTTTCCAATTACCTCCCCTCCGCCAGCGCCAGCGTTCTTTTCCAAAAGCTCCCCTCTTCTTTTGAGACACGCTTGTCAGTGTCATTGGCCCTGCAGACGGCCGTTCCCTTTTTCATGACAAGCTCAGCCATTCCTTTGCAAGTTATTCCGACTTCTTCTACAAAGCGCCCAGTCTCTTTGCTTCCGCTCCCCTGAGTGGTCTCGCGACCCAAGCTCCACCCGCTTCCCACCTCCAAACGGCTTGTTGTCAACTCGAGCTGACGAGCTCCTCGCCGTTGCGCAAGGCCCGACAAGATGCCTTGTGAGTCTTCCTCCTCTCTCCCGCCTCTCCGAAATCCCAACCCCGCGATGCGCTGGTCCTCTGCTCTGCTCTCCGATCTCTTTCTTCCCGATCCTCGCCTCGCCGTCACATGCCTTCAAGGCTACCTGCGTCATACCCGCTTCCTGCGCCCCAAAACATCCGATTCCGCCGTACCTGCCTGGAAGCTCTACACACCCACATACGTCGTAGCTTCGCCTGTCGAGAAGCATCAAGACTCTGCCTGAGCATTGGCATCGAACCTTTCGAGCTACACCCGTCAAAAGGAAGGCTATTTCGGCTTTCGGGAACAGCACACCTCACCACACCAGGAAGGAACGGCGGGCAGGACGATTCCGGCCAGGCACATCAGCCTCTTCTCACTCTTGCGCTTCACAACCGCCGCTCTGCGATTTGTACCATGAGATTTACTGACTCGATATGACAGGTCTTGTGGAGGACGCTTGGATCAATGGCCAGGCAACGTAAGTCGAACAGGGTTTCAACGTTGAGATTCCTTTTAACTAAATCATCTGGGCAGGAGTCACGATGTCTCCGAGCTCGAGGACTGCGCGATAGCCATTGACGCGACATACTACCTCCAACTCTTCCTCGACACCCCTCCTTTCCACGAACCTCTCCTGCCCGCTCTGGGTGGCATGACTGGCATTGAGCACCATCTCCGAGCTGATATCGACCAATGGAAGGCACACAAGATCATACCGTTCTTCATCTTTGATGGACAGTCGGTGACCGGCCAAGAGGAGGTCGCCGTTCAGCGAGGCCGAACTGCCAACCAGAAGACGGACGAAGCTTGGAAGCTATACTTCAACAGCCACGCACAGGAAGCTGTCGACGCGTTTGGTGCCAACAGCGGTACGCATCATCGCTGTGATGCCGATGGGCCACACTGACCATGAGACTGCAGGCGCTTTTCGCATCCAGAACCTCTACCCCTTGCTCAAGTCTATTCTGAAAGACAACGACCTGCACTTCCTTGTCCCCCCCTATAATGCCTCCGCTCAGGTAGGTTCGAGCTTGAATAGGACGAGGCTTTCGATGCTGACGAGCTATTAGCTCGCCCACTTCGACATGATCGATTCAGACCAATGCGCCGCTGTCATGGGCTCGCAGGAGCTGATCCTGTATCCGATCAAGGACACTCTGATTCGAACGATAGATTGGGAGGCAAAGACCGTCACATCGTTATCCAAAAAGAATCTTGTGCGGTCACTGAACATCAGCGAAGGCATGTTGAGCGACGCTCTGCTCATGACCGGAACCTCCTTCCTACCACCCTTCCCACCACTCCTGGACACTTCACTCAACCCACGCCAGCCTTTCACGATCAACGATGCTGTCAACCTCTTAAGAGCGTCGGAAAAATCTGTTCAATCAGCCTGCAGCTCCTACGGCGACATTCTGAAGTCAAAGGACCCCAAGTGGCTGGACAAGTACAGACAAGCCAAGATGGCCGTCAACCACTTCATCTATATATCCGAAGAAGGCGAGATCAAAGTCAACGACTTTGACCACATCACAAGTGATAATCACGAATACCTTGGTCTTCAGCTTCCCGGAGAATTGTTCCACTACCTCAATACTGGTCTAATTGGCTCTCGCGTCCTCGACTATATAACACATAGTCGAATCGTCGTCACGCCTACGCTGGATGGAGTTGCCTCAGAACAGTATAGAAAACTGGTTACTAGCCAACTTGTTCCTCTCAAGGAGCAGAGCATCGCGCTTCTGATACCGAGACTTCACCGTGGTCTCCAGCACAACGCCATCACCATGAAGGTTTGGTTCGACGACAACTTCTCGTATAAAATCAACAAGTCTCTTCAGCCATCACCATCTCAGCGTGCCGCCACATGGGACGTGAAGGAAAGCTCCTTCAAGACTGTCGCCGAAGGCGTCGATGAACCCCCTGGATCCATCGCTTTCGAGATCTTGGCACTCCTGTTCGATGATTTCGTCAAAGGCACCTTCCCCAAAGAGAAGAAGCGTATTGGAGGCATTGATTCTGTTCAGAATATCACGGCGGTCGCCATCTGGAGATTCCTCCATCTCCGCGGCTACGTCGATGATTCGCACACATTGACGAACTGGGGTAACGCTGTTGCCAGCGCAATCTGGGCGATGAAGGATTCGCTCAAGGACTTGCAGGTACCTGAAGGTCTCAACATATTTGAGGCGATCCTGAATGCGTTCGAGCTCATCAGGCACGATGTGCTCAATTCAGGCCATCGACACGAAGAGCTTAATGGAGCGCCAATGAACGGTACTGACGAAGAGAAGGCGAGCATCCTTCTCATCAGCAGATGTGCCTCCCTATTGAAACTTCGACACGAGTCTAATGGATACACCGGGCCGCTCAACAAGAATCTTCTCCTCTTCCGGTCACTTTCGACTGCTGTGCGTGAGGCGGATCGCGACCTCGTTGAGGCAATTGTGGCGTCCATGTTCCTGTACGCACAGTCAAAGAGAGATCGCAACGACTACCTGCAAATCAGCCAGACGTAAGTGTCTTTGCTTGACCTCAATCATTTCAGCCACTAATCGGTCTCACAGTTTGCCCTTCCTCCACAACCCTGACATCGCTCTGGGAATTGCGGTCAAGACACTCATGGACGAGCTTCCCGTTGGTGATATCGAGCTGCGACAAGCCAAAATCGAGGAGTTCCCCACTAACTTCTTCCCCTACGCTACCAACTTCAAGGAGGATATTCAACTTGCATTTGCCTTTTTCGACGCCATCCACAAGGGCGTACAGACGCTCGACAAGGAGGTTCCGGCGGCTGACAAGGCGGCATGGTCAACAGCGAGCAAGTACCTGGACCAGAGGCGGTTTTAGGGCTGAAGATGTCTGGCCTTGGAGCGTGGCGTTGGCGAACCAAAAGCAGACGAAGGACTGGACAGCATAAGAGACGCCGAGCTGCGACCCCACGAGAGCACTATGCGCTCCCGGGGTGGAATATGAGACATTTGTCAGTCCGTGTATAGCCTCGGGGGTTTGGAGCGTGCGGCAGGGCTCGAAGCTGGATCCAGACAAAGATCAAGTTTGCATTACAATTTTCATAAAGCCGTAGGTTAGCTGTCCTATATCAGATGAATGGAAGCAGACTTTACCTATAAATCAGTAGTGGCCGAGGTATATCAATGGCGTACTCTTGGCCGATGACGCGGGTGACTTTTGGTGGGTGTTGAGCTAACACTGGGAGACTCTGTTTCTCACATTCTCTTGCTTATTTCGATGGTACACAGGAGCATTCGTATGCCAAGACGGAGAGCTGCTTTTGGTATTAAGTTATTTGATTCCGACAAAAGTGACTTGAAAGCCAGCCGCTCAAAGCCAAAACCTTGGGCTGATAATAATGCACGTCATCGTCATGAGCCAATCCGTGTGATCTCTCTCTAACCAACGCCATCAGCTTATGCCGTGCTGAAGATGCCTGCTGAATCTCCCCTAAACGCCAAGTCCATGCAAATAAACCAATTGTGTTTCTGTCCTCGAACCTTGTCTCGCCGTAAGCAACCCCTGACTACATCGAAGCATCGCTAGCAATTGCCCATTCAAGTGAGCTTTTCAAGTGAGCAACCGTCTTTTGATGGGCTGAGGCACGACCGTCTCATTGATCTCCAACTCTTCCGTCGCTTGGATCTTGTGGCCCATTTGGCGGATCTTCTCGAGCAGGTGACTAGGACAGTTGTTAGCAAAACTCATCTCAAAGGGCAGCTGAACCAGCTGCAAGGTCGCCCTAGGTGCCTGAAAAAACATCGCTCTCCTTTGTGTCGTCTACATTAGATTCGACCTGCCACAAGGACCATTTTCTGGATTTGTGTCCCAAAAAGGAGAAACTTCTAGTGGCTCGTCTGAAACACAAGCATATCTAAATTCAGGAGAGGAGAGTGGGGAGGCATACTCTATGGGGAGATGGTTCTTGTCACCCTCCGTCACTGCCAAGTTGATGCGCTGGACCTGGTTCTCGTCTTCGTGGTAGTGTTCGTTCTGCATGTGCTCGTTGATTCTTATACGTCCGTCTTCTGATTCTGGATTTCGTTCGACAAACCCGCAGTCGTCCTCGTCACAGACCCAAGTGCCATTAGGTCCTTTAGGTATTGTTGTTGGAATGTTCTCTGCTCGCACAACGACCTTTAATGCGGTGGGCGATTCTGCAGAATCGACACTGGAATCGTCATCTTCAGAGCTGCTGCCATCATTCATGACTTCATCCTCGTCAGAAGCGTCACCGGCATGGAACCTCTTTGCGACCTGTCGGGAGACGCTTTCTGGGGTCTCATCCCCGGAGTCAAAGCGTCGCTTACCACTGGTGCCCGCAAGCCGAAGGCCTGACATCTTTCCAGCCGGTCTACCGACACGTCTTGGAGGAGGAGTTGCAACATCCGTGCTCCCCTGGGCCTCTTCAGGAAGTGATGGCCACCGATTCCGTGGATTTGATACTTCCTTTGCCTTACGCCGCGTTAGGGCTTCAGGAATTTGCTCAAGCTGAATGTGCTCAAGAGAGAAGCGAGCACCTTGGGCAGATTCCTCGAGCGTTTTCCAGAAACCAGACCCTCTCCACTCATCCTGATCCAGGCGTTCAACCAGCTCTTTCGCATAGTACTTGAGAATGTCTGCCGCTCCCAGGTAGGCTTTGACCTTGTACTTGTAGTACAATTTTGATGACACTTTGGAGAACGCTGCTTTACTCAACGGCTCAGCTTCGGGTTTGATGTCGTCGATGGCTTCTAGGAGGGCATCCACGTTGGATCGGTCATGGACAGTTCTGACAAGTTCCGTTTGGTTTGGAACCTCTGGGGTCTCGTCCACTGCCATGGCTTCCTCCAAAGGCTCGGGGGCGGAGGGCGACTGCGTCTTGGTCTTGCCCCTTGATCTGGACCTCATGTCCCTTGCAGAGAGAGCAAAGTCGTGCGAATCGGTCTGGCTATCGTCGGCAGGTGTACCCCTTTGCTTTCGTTTCGACAACGCCTTCTGCGCGGGCGGCTCGTCCGAAACAGTCGGCGTCACCACAGCTTCGGTCTCCTCTGGTATCGATGGACCAGGCTTAATACCCGCAAGTTTCTTCTTCCTGAGCTCAAGAACTTTCTTATGAATATCCTAAAATGATTAGTTGGGTCTCCAGCAAAGCTCGGTGGAGCTACACATACTGGGTGTCGCTCTGTCATCCACTTGAAAAAGAGCGTCGGCGTCCATTCGAATTCTGGCTCTTCATAGAAATGGGATATGAGGAAAGATGCATGATCGTCGCAGCGCTGTTCCACCTCCTCAAGAGTAGCACCATCACCCATGGCTACTGCATACTGTCACTTGCGTCAGCATAGATCGCCGGATCCTTCTCAGCGCCAGGCTCACCTTGAACAACAACGTCTCAATGGTCATTGCTACACCCTTCTTCTTCTTGGGGCCCTTCCTGTTCGTATTGGCTGCAGCGTGCTCCTCGATGATGTCTAGAATCGTGTAGTAAATCGAAACTCCTTCGATTGTGTGGTCGAATATCGCCTTGTAGGCGGCTGATGGTGGTCGAATTTCGTACCATCCCGCCGCGCCCCCAGCCCATGCGCCATAGCCATTGTCGCTAACGCCGATAGCGTAACGAGTGCATTCGTGGGTTTCGATCAAGGCTGATTTCGTAGAAGGTTTTACGGCTGCGTGATGTAAGCGATTGGAGGCGATGGGTATTCATGGATGAAGCCAGACCTCTTGCCGTCTGCGGTCCGTCGATGACGACGCGACCTCGAACAGTGAATGGGCCCTGGGTATTGACGGTAAAGAGCTCAACGGGATTGCCCTTCTTGTCGCAGACGATGGCATCCTCAAGAACAAATGTCTGTAGCATGTCTCCCTCCACAGGATCGTATCTCTTGAGAATGCTAAGTTCTTTAGCATAGGCCCGTCTGTCGGGTTCGACGGTGCCAGTCGTCGAATCCGACGTTCGTCGCCGCCGTCCAGCCATTGTCCTGTTTAAAGCTGCAATCGTTCGAGGTAGTGAGGGTGGGGGTTCTCGGTGCACGAGGCGTAAATGTGTGCCAGGCGCAAGTTCATCGGGCTTAGGATGCGTTTCCCAGTGGGGAGAAGAATGAGATGTTGCGGGGTGATAGTGCAAGTTGCGCCGGGCCACAACGACGATGTGTGGGTAGGTGGGAAGGGAGCACGCGAACGCGGTTCTCAAATCCATTAAAGAAAGCTGGAGCGCGCGGAACGTTGTGCATGCGTACCGTATGAAGTACAGTTACTGATGCGGGGCAGGCGACCACCGCTTCCTCCCCCCACTGAAGCTGGGAAGAAAGGTAGCGGGACTCGTCGCTGTTACAGGGGACTTGCTAGTCCACGGGTCCAGCAGACAGGGGCTCTGTCATTCCTGGACCAATAGATAAGCCGATAGGAATCACTGGAACGTCCCTTCCTAAAAAAAATTTCCCAGAACTGCATGCAGAGAAGCGCAAGATCCACGGAAAGCGCAAAAGCTAAAGAGAAGGTCGCACCTACCCCCACCGGCCGCATCGTTTCTTTCTCTCTTTTACCCCCCAAGATCCTTAACTTCGGGCGAATGAGAATTACGCCCAATCTCTGGAAGATGGCGAAAGACACCGTGTACGAAGGCGTCTTCGGTAAGCGATGCCTCCTTGCTTCCCATTGTTGCTCAATGGGCGTCTGCAGGCGTGCGATGCGATTCGACAAACGCTGACCGTGGTATCTCCAACCCAGCCATCAACAAGCCATACGGCATGAGCTCTGCGCAGGTGATCCGCGATTGCCAGCAACAGATGAACCCCTCAGCCATGTTCAAGCCTTTGATCGAGAGAGACCTTGCCGCCAAGATGCAGGAGTCCAAGCAAGAGTGGAAGCGCCGCCGAGCCGTTAAGAAAGACTCCCGCGTAAAGATGGGCCACGGAGGCACACTCGACCCATTGGCGACCGGCGTGCTCATTCTGGGTGTCGGATCGGGTACCAAGTCACTCGGCTCCTTCCTCGACTGCACCAAGACCTACGAGACGGTGGTACTATTCGGCGCAAGCACAGACACCTACGACCGCGTCGGTAGAATATTGAGCAGACGGCCGTACGATGAGATCACAAAAGAAAAGGTCGAGAAGGCGATGGACAGCTTCAGGGGCAAGTTCGAGCAGATCCCGCCTCTGTACTCGGCACTCAAGATGGAGGGAAAGCCGCTGTACGAGTACGCTCGTGAGGGCAAGGCTATCCCTAGAGAAATCGTGGGACGCGATGTCGAAGTGTCCGAGCTCGAATTGGTCGAGTGGTACGAGCCTGGGACGCACAATTACAGATGGCCTACCGAAGAGGCTGAGACGGCCGAGAAGAACCTCGCTGAGCAGGTCTGGCGAGTGGAGAAGCAACAGGGCTCCGGCCGCCGGCTCACTCCCGAGGAGGAGAAGGAAGAAGAGAAAGCCCTCTCTGAGCACGAGACTGTTAAGAAGAAGTTTGAGGAGCGCCAGGACGGTCTTATCCGCGACAAGCCTGCCAAGAAGCAGAAGCCGCCCAAGAACCCGGCCCTGATGTCTGGCGCTTTGGGACAGCTCCCCGGCGGCAAGGGCTCCAACCTCATCCCGCCACCCCCATCTGCGGATGAGCCCTTCCCTTGGACCGACAAGGGCCCGCCCGCTGCTAGGATCCGCATGAAGGTCACGTCTGGATTCTATGTTCGCAGCTTCTGCCATGATCTGGGTGCCAAGGTCGACTCTGCGGGCATGATGGCCGAGCTTGAGCGATCCCGACAGGGCGACTTCGAGGTCCGCACTGATAGCTGCTTAGAGTACGATGACGTTCTCAAGGGAGAGGAGGTCTGGGGACCCAAGGTCGCCAAGGCATTGTCTGAATGGACCGAGAAGTACCCCAACGGAGCACCGCAGTCGCAACGCGAGCGACAGAATGCCCAAGGTCAGCAGAAGCAGCAGCAGAACCACGGCCGCAAGGATGACAGGAAGCGCAAGTGGGAGAACAAGAGCTTCGAGAAAAACGACAACGCGTCCAAGAAGAGGAGAAACTCCAGCTCGGGAGACGAGGCGCCCGCCGCCAAGGTGGTCAAGTCGGAGCAGGCTAGCGATGTCAAGGAGTCTTCGCCCAAGAAGTCTCCCAAGGCATCACCTAAGGCGTCACCCAAGGCGTCACCCAAAGGTTCTCCCAAAACTTCTCCCAAGGCGAAGTCAGCTAACAAAAAGAAGTTTGATGACGTATGGGAAGGTATTCAAGACTAAAGCTTGAGCATCGCATAAGGTAGACGAGACACAACGTACACAGAGACACAAGGGCTTCTTCGTGATGAGAACATTTTAGTTTGTGAGGCTACGGCCTGGGAAAAGGGCACGGCGTACGGAGGCTTCATTTAGCATGACCCAGAAAAGCATTGCAGATCGAGGGGTGACCCGACAGTTGGACACTTCATTTCGACTTGCCCATTTGCCCTTATAAATAAGAAGGTGACGAAGTTCATCAGTTAAAACAGCTCAATCATGTCGTTTGAATTGTGTTCTCCGGACCCGAAGGCCGCGTAACCTCATGTGCAATCTCTCTCCGGTATTCCCATTGTGTATTCATCAATGCGTACTATACCAGAAGTATAATAATCGATTTGCTTCCTTTCCTGCCGTCAGTTGAAAATGGGACTTCTGCTCAGAAGCTTAAGATGGTTATACCCCTAATCCTGAAGTGCAGCGCTACCTACAACTGTAGCTCACAGGTTCGATTCTTGTGGGCGGGCTTCGGTCTTGCTTCTTCCTCCTCCGTAGGACTTTTCCCCAGGCCATGATGATTCGTTAAGTTTACCCAGTATTTCCCGCCCAGTATGCAATTCGTGTCGTATCGTCATTAAAAAGTCCCGCGGATATCACACCGCTATGCATCGTACATTCCTACTCCATCATGATTCCCAAAGTCCAGGAGGCTCTTCCCGTCACGGCTGCGAAGCCCTCTTCTGCTCCGCTGCCTCCCTCACACTTTCGTCCCTGGCATTCATCTCCCCCAGCAGCGACCTCACCCTCTCGATCCGGCCCACGGCGCCCTCGAGCCTATCCAACCGCCTCAGTTTGCCCTTATCCCGCTTCTCCAGCGTCTCGACCCTCTCCTCGAGCTTTGCCCTCGCCCGCCGCTCCGTCGCGACCATCTCGTTGGCCTGCTCGAAGAGACTGACGCTCAGCTCCTCCACCTCCTGGCTCGTCGTGCTCAGCCTGCTCTCCGCAGCCATCCTCATCCTCTGCTCTCTTCCCAGCGCCTCCCGCAGATCCTCCGTCGATGCGGGACCGTCAGGCGGCGGTGACGGCGTGCGCAGGTTCGGCGAGGACTTCATGCCCCGCGGGCTGAGAAGCTGTGACAACCTATTTGCGCCGCCGCTCAAAAAACTGGTGCGGGTGGGCGAAGGACTGGGAGCGAGAGGCAGCGCGGGGGCGAGACCGGGAGAGGCGGCGGGGGTGGAGGTTCGGTGGGAGGCGGCAATGCGCAGACGTGTGAGCTCGTCTTCGTAGTCGGCCCAACGGTCGACGGCGGCGGCGGCCTTTTGGTTGAGGAGGCGGACCTGGGCTTCGAGGTCGGCGATGCGGGACTGAGCTTCGAGGAGGGCGGGGGGGGCTTCGAGGACGACACCGCAGGAAGGGCATGAATGTTGCTCTGAGCGGTCGGTTGAGAGGGAGAGGGTTGGCGGTGTTAGCGGCGGGTGCGCGGCGGTCATTGTCATTGTCGCGCTCATGGCTTTAGCGAAGGGGATTAGGTGTATTGTTCGTTTCAAACGCTCTTCTCGGTTGTGCGGTGAAGATGAAGCTGGGAGGTTGTTCGTAATCCTCGGTGCAGTTCCGTGGGAAGTTCGATTTCTAGATACGCAATCGACTTGGACGTTTGAAGTGGCGGGGGATATAGATCAAGCTTCTTTTTAGGTTGTGCTCGAGGCGTTGCAAAGTCCCCGCGTGAGGAAAGGAAAAGCTACTTTAGCGCGGCGGGGGGGCTAGAGAGTTTGAAAGGTGTGACGTCGAGGTGCCAAAGGTTCGTCAGGAGGGGGGATGAAATGCGAGTGGTGGGTGGCCGCGCACGATGATATGTCGGGCTACTATATCTGGGAAAAATAGAGTGTTCGCACAGGGTGGTTTGGAACTCTTATTCGTAGCAGCGCGGCGCTTTGGGGAGGCAGAAAAAGTCAAGGTGTAGTTGGCTCTTGTTGCAGGTTCGGTGAGGTGTATCCGTTCGTAGTCGAATGGGGAATATTGAATATCGATAAGTCCACCAAGAGGAAAAAGCAAAGAGCAGGGAAGAAGAGACAATTGAAGGGTATGGGTTCGCAAAAGTAATCAAAGATGGCAGAGAGAGAACCCCATCTGTCTGAAATCCCGCCCACATGCCACCTTAGCCACCAGACTTACGTGACACCACACACCTGCCCTTTTCTTTCTATGCCGTTTCCCTCCACGAATAAATTGACGACGCGAACGGTAACTGCGCCTCCTTGCTTTCGTGGGAATTCGGGGGTGATACCAATGATTGGGGAGGAACGGTGGACCGGGGTCCTTCAGTGTCCCAAACGGGCGGGTCCTAACAAAACGGCGTCGGGCGATTGGGTGAAGCAACCCAATTTGGGCTTTACCTAGGTACTCCATACGGGGGCCGACACTGCTCCACTCCATTTTCTGTTCTAGCACTCTCCTTGCTGTTGAAAGCCTCATCAACCGAGATGGCAGGGAGAGACGGGAACGGTTGTACGACTGTTGCTTGAGCCTTAATTTGCTGCCATTTCTTTTACATTCTCTTTTATTTGCGGGTCGCAACCGTTTTGATTAAACAAAGTCATGTTTCTTCCTCTTGGTCCAAATTGACTGGTTGTTTAAATTAATGCCAATTGCGGAATGTCCGTTCATGTCCATGCCCCGACGGGAACGGAACGGCAGGTTACACTTGGGAATTTGGTGACATCTTAATCATGTAGGTGTCATGATTGACGACTATAGAGTGTAGACGACCATTTTCTGGCGATTCCTCCCCCTTCGCTCGTGCTTTGTCTCTGGCGCCCAACATCCGTTCCCTTTTGACAACTCTTGATCGTCCCCTTGCATGAATAAGGCTCCCACATCGGACTGCCCATCAATCAGTCCTTTGACCTCGTCATGTCCCGTGCTGAGTCGTTGCAGTAAATCCGTACACAAAGGGCACCCTGCCGACCATGCAACCCCTCCAAACTGCCACTGCATCGTTGGTTGGCAGTGGAGCTCATGCTTTCATCTCTCGTCAAAAATTCATGCACTGCCGCTGACGGCAGCTGTTGCTGATGCTGACGCTACCAGGAAGGATAGTAAAAGGCCGTAATTCTTGGTTTGCTGCGCTGATGCACCAGCCAAGTCGGCCTTCGGGTTCGGTCCAGAACTCTGAAACTGCCCCAAAAGTTCGCTGTCATGTCGTCATGCTGGCTCTCTCGTTTCGAAACGCCGTGAGATCACTTCCCTGCCGAGCGAGGAGGGGGTACGAACGGCCATCAGCCCTCAGCCTCGTTGGCGAGGCGGTGCAGAATACTCTGGAACCTCAAGCGTCTGAGCGTATCCAGCTGCAAAGCTCTCCGCAGCTTGACCTGCACATCGTGAAAAGACAGGCAAGTAGATGAGAAAACGCGCCAATCAGTTTGGCTTGGCCACCTTGCGCGGCTCTCCGATGCCGGTCTCCGGGTCCTTGTACTCCTTCCAGCTGACGGGCACCATGTCGTTGCCAGCCTCGCTGGTGGCCATGATGACTCCCAGCTCATTAGCAGCGGTGGAGAGGTAGTAGTTGGCCTGGTCTCCCAGAGAAATCTGATATAGCAAGTCAGCTACCCATTACAAGTCACTTTTCAATCTCTTGCCAAAGGCCACTCACCACCTGCGCCCGCACCACGTCACCAGGCTTGAAGCTTTCATAGATCTTGACCTTGTCCTTCTCCGTCGCCCTCACGTCTTGAGAGCGAATGACACCCTGCCACTCCGTCTGCAGCACCGTGTCGCCAACCTGCTGGATCGTGACAATGGCCTGCTTCGGCATCAACCGCACGACGCGGCAGAGCACCATGTTGCCCACGTCGGGAAGCACCTCGCGCTTCTTGCTAGCGCCCTTGCGTGCCACGGAGATGGTCGCCAGCTCCTCGGGCGACAGCGGTGTGATGCGGTTGAGGCGCTTCGTGAGGCCGGCCTGGGCCTTGGCCGATGCTGTGACGGTCACATCGCCGAGCAGGGAGGCGACGACATTACCGTTGTAGACATGTGTTCCTGGGCCGGCGGCGAACCGCGTGGTAGGGCCGAGAACCTTGCCCGGCACGGCGGTCTGGGGAATCTCAACCGTGGCCATGGTGATGAGATATGGGGGTGGATGTATGACGTGTGAGAGCTAGCTGTGGTTGGAGCCGTTTTCACACTTGAGTTTGCGTGTATGTGACTGCTGAGAAGTGAGGTGTCTGGTGTGAGCTGGCCCCAGTCGCGAATTTTCCTTTCGGCTCCGTATGTGAGGCTGGAGTATCAAAGTCCGTCCCGTTTGCTCGGTGGTTGAGATTGCACTTGTCAGAAACCCGAAAGTCCGATTTTTTTCTCAGTGAATTGCCCAGTCGACGGCCCCGCCATCCCGGATAGCTGCAGCTAAACAACAAAAACCCATGGTCAGCCCCACCATCAAAGCTCCGTCAGGCCACTGGCAACTTGAGCTTCCGGGGGCGGTGGCGCATGGCAGAAAGGGCAAAATGCAGGGTCCTGCCAATCTCTCAACCAAAAACAATAAGCGATGCGACAACGGGTACTGCAGCTCAACGAAGCCCTTCTTAAACCCATCTCGCCGGTGCTCCCGTCGCCAAACACCTTTCCCGTGTGCGCCCTCTCCGTTCTCCTCCATTGTACACAAGTCCGTCAATTGGACCACCACATTCCTTCCCCTTTCTTTGCACTTTGGTAACCCAAGTCTTACTCCAGACTTTTTGCGCAAATCACAATGCCGTCTCTCGGGCGCCTGTTTACACTGGCGCTGTGGATCGGTCTCCTGACCCCCATCTACATGTTCCTCGAGAAGAACTTGGAAAAGTTCTACATCTTTGATCACGAGCACCTGCACGACCTCTCCAAGCGCGCCATCGCCACCCATGGAAACGACACGCGCTCCGTCGTCAACTACATTGTGACCGAGCTCAACGGCCTGCACCCCACCAACGTCAACCTCGACGAGGAATGGGTCTTTAACAACGCCGGTGGTGCCATGGGCGCTATGTACATCATTCACGCCAGTGAGTCTCCTCGTTTCCATCTCTCAACCTTCCAAAGATGATGGAAGGCAGTTTACTAATAAAACCCACCAGGTATCACCGAGTACCTCATCGTCTTCGGCACCGCCATCGGAACCGAGGGCCACTCCGGCCGTCACACCGCCGACGACTACTTCAACATCCTCTACGGCACCCAGCTCGCCTACGTCCCCGGCAAGTACGAGCCCGAAGTCTACCCCCAGGGCACCGTCCACCACCTCCACCGCGGCGACGTCAAGCAGTACAAGATGGACGAGGGCTGCTTCGCGCTCGAGTACGCCCGCGGCTGGATCCCGCCCATGCTCTTCTTTGGCTTCGCCGACGGCCTGTCCAGCACCCTCGACTTCCCCACACTGTGGACGACGACCCGTATCACCGGCCGCGAGATGATTTCCAACCTGCTCAAGGGCAAGTTCTAGAAAGCAGACAACGTCTAGGTATGGGGAGGGCTTCTTTGAAGGTCTCAGTCATGGGCGTAAAGTAGGATGGTTCAAGAGATGGAAATCTTTGGGCCTAGTGATGGAGCGCGTATAGAGTGATTTGTTGCGCTGCTCTCTTCTTGCATATCCCATTCGGCCGTTCCGAACGTTCATATAGACATTTAATAATACCGAGCAGCAAGGCCGCTTCTTTCATCAAGATTAACTCCATCTCCTCGTTCAAAAAGAATTGCCGCTACCTTTGCATCCATATGCGCCGTCGGTTGAGACACTTTGTTTGCAAGTGAGAGACATGCATCAAATGCGCGAACCAATGAATATCATTCTCCTGCGCAACTCTGAGGATGAATCTGCGGGTGAGACATCCTTGTTATGCTGGCCAAACAGACGGAGCCTGAGACCAAGAATTTTCCGAGCAACGTCTCCGAACTTTTCTCATCCACCCGGACATTCCGATATCTGCCCCCTGAGCCATCCGCATCAGAGAAGCGCCAATCCGCCAATGTAACGCGACTCCACATATACGGCCCCCCTTCTGCCGAGCCGGAGTTAGCGCCGGCGCCGGCCCAGAGTGGAGCCGCCCGGAAAACGTCAATGATGACCTCTTCCTCTTTTGAACAGCGAAACGTTGACCAGAGGGCGTGAGATTGTCGCCTGACGACACGCTTCTAATCTTTGCCATTTCTCGTATGCTACATTCTTTTCCTGACTCGGAACGACATGCGCCACGCATCGTCACTTCACCTGGACGTCCGACGGCCACGTTTCTCGCTGAGGGGCCGGCAGTAACTCGGGGCACTGCGCAATCGCTGGCTCTTTAGATTCTCTACTGCGATGAGAGCTCGGGCTATGAAGCTGAAGGCCCTGCCGCCGGCCGTAATCGAAACGCGATGGAGGAAGGAAACGCCGTGTCTAAGTTTCTGGGCAACTTTCCCTTTACTGGTGGTGAGAATGTGTGAGGTGAATCAGATTATAAACCATCCCGCCCGATGGGTATTCGTATGGTCGCGACTTCACACAGTCTCACGTACTATGAGCCAACGAGTTCGCATGTGAGTTGTACAATATGCAGAGCGGGCATTGTAGCAGGCCGGCACAGAACAGTCATCACGTAGTTGTCGTCGACGAAGCATCGGCACTTGGAATGGCCCGGTTTGGCCACACCCGACCATTCGGGCGATTGACGCGTCTATTTAATCGATTGCCGACTCGGAGGTCACTAGACTTGACACCTAAAGATTTTGCTTTTCTCGAATCTTCAAGTGTCAAGTCTAATCGACCGTACAGCTAAAGCATGTCTCAGGGATTGGTCGGTTGAATGATTCGCAGCCGAAGCCAACGATAATCACATACAAATATCAATATCAATCGGCTTGATTATTAGGACAATACTGTTCTGTCTTGATACATTTCCTACAATAGATTTGCAAAGGAGAAGACGCGCGAAGGTTCAACATCCGCCAATCTGGTTTCCATCTCGTCTGTACTTCTCTTACACTTGCCCCCTGAGCTCAGGCCTGCTCGCCCCAAGTCCGCTGCCGCTCCGTGTAGTGTTTCCTTCCCCCTCCCCCACGATCTGCTACGAGCCCGTCCGTTCTTTCTTGGTTTTATCATGGCCTGAGTATCCCTGCTTGTTCGCCTTCTGCCTTATCATGAGCCAATCCTTGCCCTTCTTTCCCCAAGATAGCGAGTGTCTCTTCCCGTCTTCACCCCTGTGTCCTTCACGGCTTCTTTAATCGTGTTTCACATATCGGACCGGAAGAGCCAAGACCATAAATGCGGAAGGCCACCCAACGTCTTCTTATCTCTCCGTACGACCACTCTCGTGTGACGATCACAGCTTCAATATCTGATTTGACATCAGAGAAACCAAAACACGATGCCAGCTGGGGATACGATTGAACAGTCACTCTCTGAGTCTCAGCTTAGAGAGGGTTCATACGACATGAAGTATTATGAAGACGTATCTCTCGACGAGAAGAGGGGTATCCAGCCGCGGCCAGATGCGCCGACCGACGAAGAGTTGCAGACTCTGAGGAGAGTTTCGGACCACATTCCCTTCAAGCTCTTCACCATCGCCTTTGTCGAGCTGTGCGAGCGCTTCTCGTACTATGGCTCCGTTATTGTCGTGAGTAGACTCGAGTTCTCCGCTTTACAGAATAAACTGACATTGGAAGTGTATGTTTTGCGAATAAGTGAAGTCATAACGGTCGAGGAATACTGACCGATCCCAGTCACCAACTTCATCCAACAACCTCTCCCAGCGGGCTCGACGACCGGCGCCGCGCCCAATGGCCAACCCGGTGCGCTTGGGATGGGCCAGCAGGCGTCAACCGGCATCACGACCTTTAACCAATTCTGGCAGTACTTCATGCCCTTGTTCGGTGCCTGGGTCGCCGACAAGTACTGGGGCCGGTACAAGACCATCTGCATCTCCATCGCCGTTGATCTCGTAGGCCACTTGATTCTCATCACCGCCGCTATTCCACCCGTCATCACGAAGCCAGCCGGGAACTCGCTATCGGCACTGCTCGTAGGCATGATGTAAGTGGTATTCTGGCTGCCGGTCCGGATCACCATCAAGCTGACTCTAGCTAGAACGATTGGTTTTGCCACAGGAGGTTTCAAACCCAACGTCAGTCCCTTGATCGCGGAGCAGCTCGAGATCGATCACTTGACCGTAAGGACGCTCACGACGGGAGAGAAGGTGATTGTCGACCCTGCCATCACCATCAACAGGGTCTACAACTGGTTTTACATGTTCATCAATATTGGCGCTCTGGTCGGCCAGATCTCAATGGTGTACGCTGAGAAGTACGTCGGTTTCTGGCTGAGCTTTACGCTGCCGACCTGCATGCTGGCGCTGTGCCCCCTGGTCATGTGGTGGGGAAAGGGTAGATATCGCGATCAGCCCCCGACGGGCTCGGTTTTGGGACCGGCTCTGCGGACGTTTCTCTTTGCTCAGAAGGGTAGATGGTCGATTAACCCAGTCAAGACTTGGAGGAACATGCATGACGGGACCTTCTGGGAGAGGGTCAAGCCTTCTAACTTCTCCGATGCGACTCGGCCAAAGTGGATGACCTTTGACGACGCCTGGGTCGAAGAGCTGTAAGTATTGCTTCGGCGCACTTGGGTTGACTGGTTCCTAACCTCTGCAGGCGTCGTGGCTTCGCAGCTTGTGCCGTCTTTTCATGGTATCCCATCTACTGGCTCTCGTATAACCAATGTAAGCCTCAAATCTTGCCCTCCCTCCATTCGTAGGTTATCACCCTTATCTAACCCCTCACAAGTGAACAACAACCTAGTCTCTCAAGCCGCCACCATGCAGCTCAACGGCCTCCCCAATGATATCCTCTCCAATCTCGACCCCATAGCCCTCATTCTCTTCATCCCGCTCTGCGACCTAGTGCTCTATCCGACCCTCCGCAAGCTCAGGATCCCCTTCACGCCCATCAAGAAGATCGCTTTTGGCTTCTTCACCGGCGCCATGGCCATGGTCTGGGCCTGCGTGCTGCAGTACTACATCTACAAGCGCTCCGCCTGCGGCCAGTTCGCCTCGGGCACCCTACCCAACGGCGACCCCTGCCCTCCCGTTGACATTCTCGTCTGGGCCCAGACGGGCGCCTACGTGCTCATCGCCCTGTCCGAGATCTTTGCCAGCATCACCAGCCTCGAGTACGCTTTCAGCAAGGCGCCCAAAAACATGCGGTCCATGGTCCAGGCTGTGGCGCTCTTCATGTCGGCCATCTCCGCGGCGTTGGGGCAGGCTTTCACGCCGTTGAGTACTGACCCATATCTGGTATGGAACTATGGCATCGTGGCGGTGCTGGCTGGCGTGGCGGGTGTGATCTTCTGGTTTCAGTTCAGGGATCTGGATAAGGAGGAGGATGCGATGAACGAGTTGCCCGAGGGTCGTATTGGGCAGGGTGTTGCTCCTGCTACTGAAATGTCACGGATGGATAACAGTGGGAAGAGGGACTGAGACTTGGAGTGTCCGACTATGAGTTCAAAAACTGCAACCAGAGTTGATGACTTGGTTTTGTTCTATTCTTTTCGATCCTAGACTTTAGCGAAGATGAGTTTGAAAGGGAATCTTGCATCTATGTGTGAAAAATTCGGCTTTACTTGATGATATTTGGGCGACAAGGTCCCAAGAACGATTGTGGACTGGCGATCAAGACCCCTTACGCCTACAGCGACCATCAATCAGGTGACGAGATAAGCTGCCAGTCTCCTCTTATCGTTACTGTCTTTGTTACTACCTGTCTTACCGTGCTTCTTCGGGTACGTTTGTGAACGAATATCCTTGAAGATCTGAGTAGACAAAGTACGCAATGCAAAAGAGCAAGATATTACTACTCGGAAAAGCACTAAGCCAATTTCACTAACTTGGAGTCATCATGGATTACAGCTAATAACAATGAGATCAAGTGCGAAGTGCCCTGATCCTAACCTCTAGAATACTTGGCTGCTGCTGGGCCTGGGGGGATGGCCTCATTGTGATCTCAATACCGTAAAGACAGACATCATATCAGTACTCAGTTCATATGAAAACATGAGCTACGTACTCGTTGCAAGCGACCATTTCTGCTATTTACCACCTCAAGGTAATGCGAGCGAGCCACCGGAGGGACTTGGCTTATCAGGGGTAATCTAAAGCTTGAGTCGAGCAAGCTGATAAGGACGTGAAATCTCTACCCACCCAGCCCTGCCCACCGTCGGCTCCTTTGCACGCCTAAAAATATGCTCTCGGCTTCTCAACATAAGAAAAAACTAATCTACTGAGTCTTGTGGTAAGACTTTGCGAGTGATTCTGTTCGCTAATGCGTATCAGAGGGCGTGAGTAGCCCACGCCCTGCTGGGTGTCGACGCCCTACGAGCTTAAGACGAAGGCCTGTAAATCATTCCTCATCCACCACGCTTTGAAACGCAGCTTCTAGAGCTATTTGGGCTGAATTGGCAGGGTTTATTTTTGTGCT